GGCGGGGCGGCGGCTGGCGGGGAGACAGATGGCCCATGGAAAGGCTCCCTTCCCGGCCCCTCTCGACATTCAAAGGCGCTGGGGCCGCAGCTGCCGCCACACAAAGGCGCGCGCAGCCAATGGGATCGGAGCGCAGCGCGGCGCGGCCTCGCCGGAACCGCGGGGGACAGCGGGGACCGCGGGCGCGCGGGTGGCGGGAGGGGGTGCGGTGGGGGGGGAAGAGTGACAGCTGGGAGGGACCAGGCGGCCAATCGCAGCAGCCCGCGGCCAGGCGGGGGTGGGCCAGCCCCGCCGGGGAGCGTGGAGCCCGGAGCGGGTCCCTGGCCGCCTGCAGCCGGAGCGCGCGTGTGAAGCGCCCTGCACACGGAACCGGGCGGCGTGCACACGGAACGTGCACACACATAGAGGGACGTGCACCCAGACACGTGGAGGTGCGTTCGTGCGCACACAGTGGCGGGCACGAGCTCACCGAGTGCGCACGACCCGCAGCGGAGGGCCCCGCACGCAGCGCACGGGTCACTCAGGGACGTGCGCCGGGAGGCTAGCGCACGTGCACAGTCCGACTGCGGCCACAAGTGAACCTGGAAAGCGAGGGAACAGCCGCAAACAGGAACCAACCGGGCACAGTCCCGCAGACATGCCCGCACTGAAAGCCTTGCGAACGCAGGGCACGTGCCAAGAACGCATTCCCAAAGACACACAGAGAGAGGACACTAGTGCAGACACAGCTAACAGTCCGGCCTCAGCGTCGGGATCTGGCCAAGCACAAAGCTCCCAATAATCAATTGCCAAATTGCAAACGGCTCGCCCACCATGTGTGGATGTGCACCCCGTCCATACAAAGACAAGCAATCGCTCTCGCAAAACCCTCGGGCCTTTGGGGGTGCAGTCCTCCCGGCTCACCTACAGTCACGCCCAGCCATGTGCACAGACACGCCCATTTCCACCGCGCATGCAGAGAAGGGCATCAGGCTTCCCAGCGCCTGCAGATTTGCACGTGGGGATGCACAAGGCATGATGTCAAGTGTTCCCCGTGGGTTAGTACAGCGCCCTCCCCCACCCTCAAGCTTCCCCAGCTGACCTCCTATGAAAACCTCCAACATAACCCTCAGACCTGCTTCACTGTCTGCCCCAAAGCCAGAGAATGCTTGCGGCCCGTCACAGACAGAAAGACTGAGGCCACTTCGCTTCAAATCCCAGTGCCTTTTTCATTACATCGGTCTGGTTTAACCAGTAAAGTCACAGCATGTAGAACGGGGAGGATCTAATCCGGCCCAGTTTGCCTGCATCTAGAGTATGGAAAAAGGATCATTCATTTAATGCAATGAAAAGGCGTGTTGCAATGGAAAAGTCCACTGTCAGGGACCTCGCCAAAGTACAGAAGAGAAATGACGCCAGTTTAAAGACTTAAGGTGTACCTGATTCAGCCCCTGGTCTTTCCAATTACTTGTTATGTTTCAGAGCTGGAAAATGAAAATAAAGGTGACGGAAGACAAATGGATGCCTTTGAGTTTTGGTGTTGGAGAAGAGTGCTGACTATCCCACGGAGAGCCAAGAGAACAAGTTGATATGTCTTGGATAAAGTATGACCGAAGTGCTGCTTGGTGGCAAGGATGGTCAAGCTTCATCTCACATCCTTTGGACATGTTGTTAGGAGGGACTATTGCTTGGAAAGGGACATCAAGCTTGGAAAGATGGAGGGTCAGGCGCTCAAGGAGGTGGATCGACACATTAGTGGTCTCAAGTGTGTCAGAGATGCTGATGATGCTTCAGGCTAGGACAGGGTTCAGATTGGTTGTTCATGGGGTCACTATGAGTTGTACTCAACTCGGTGGCACTTAACAACAACCACAACATGCTTGAGTCTGAAGGCCCAGTGGGGTGTAAACAGTTAACATGCCTGACTTTAAGCAAAAGTTGAGTCCAATAAGAGGGACTTCAGGAGAAAGGCCTGACAATCAACTGCCAACAGAGAAGCCATATTGAAAATCCCGTGGAGCACAGGCACGCGGTGATGTCATCGGTCAATTATTTCCATGGCAAGTGGTTTGCCTGGGGGCATTTGGTGCTTGAAGCAGGGTGTAGGGAGGTGATCCAGATTCTCCTAAGATCCAAGGGACCCCCTCAGAAACTGTCACCACAGAGCCAGCTGGGTGCAGAGAGGAGGGTCAGCATACTGTGCTGGGGGCGGGCTACGTAAGAAGAGCATCTAACGATGGGAGTGAGGAGCACAGCAGGGGCTGATTCCCAAGAACAGTGACTTTCAAGGCAAGACTTAAAGTATGAGGCGTGGAACCAAACAAGTGAGACCAAGAACTGAGGCTTTACCAATACAGGAAGAACCATAGCCCAGGTTTGCCAGGACAGGTATGCATTTCCAGTGTGAAAGGAAGTACTCTTGACCCCATCACTCCTGCTAAGCTGGAGGCTTGAGCATGCGCGTGCGCACACACGCACAGCACAGACCTGTCAGACTCACTGTTCATTCCATCCCAGTAGCTCTGGCCACCCTGAGTTAGGGATGAGTCAGGACTGTCTGCGGGAAATTCACCAACAGACAAAAATCTCGCAGAAGACCATTATTTCAATCCACTTCTGCCACCAGCTCTCTCCCTTTCTACTAATCTGTCAAATAAACATAATACCACTACGAATTTAAAAAAAATATATGTAAAAAGACTTAACAAACACCTACTAGAATTCTTTCCTGTTCTATTTCAGGCTTTTGTCCGCATGCACAGATCTCAGAGTTGTCATCATAATCTACGCAGTTTTTATCCTGCTTCTTAAAGTTAATATTCTGTGGGAAACCTTCTCCAATCCTTCTTTATAGTCCTCGTAATTATAATTTTAAATGTTTTCATAGTATTTCAACAAGTGAATGCACTGTGAAATTACTTAATCATATCCTTATTCTTGGGCACTTAATTTGCTCCTAGTTTTTCATTATTGTGGATCACACAATAAACTTCTTCATGCATATAGCTTTTCTTTCACTGAACTATTATTACCACCTAGAATAAACTTCTAGAACTAGCATTCCTAAGTAAAGAAAAATGGAAAATGTTACAGCTCTTACCACACATTGCTTTATTAGAAGATGAAATTCATTGTCAATGCTACCAGTTTTGAACTGTGAAGTCTAAATGATCATTCTTTTTTTCTTTCTTTCTTTTTTAAAAATGTCTATTTTAAACTCCATCTGCTTTATGGAAGCGCTGGTGACCTCGTTCCTACGAATGTGCACTGCCATCCCAGAGCCAGGTGGTTTGAATCCATTAGCTTCTCCAAAAGAGAAAAATGGGCAGTCTCCTGCCATGCGATTAACAGCCGCTGAAAACCCACTGAAGGGTCAGCTGTGAGACTTGATGTCAATTAACTGGATTGATTGATCTACTTTGAAGCTGTGCTACAGTTTTGAAAGCACACAGTTGGAATCCACCAGCTGCTCTGCAGAAGAGGATGGGCAGTCTCCTCCCGTGTGATTAAGGGCCTTTGAAAACCAACTGGAGGGTCAGCTACAGGTCGGCTCTGACTATGTGGCACACACAACAACAACCAGCTTTGTACTAGGGAGATCTGGTGGCATACTGGGTAAGGAGTTGTGCTGGAAGTCCAAAAGCACAACGTTTGAATCCACCAGCTCCTCTGGAGAAGGCAGATGATCTCTTCCAGTGTGATTTACCACCTCTGAAAACCCTCAGCCTCTAAGAGTCAGTTCCAACTTGAGCGAGGGCACATTACAGCAACTTTAAACTAGGCTTGTAAACATCTTATCTGACTTCACAGTAGAGTGGTTAAGGTACAAACACCAAAATCATGTTCTGGCTCTTAACATTTACTAGTTTAGGCAAGTTATTTAGAGACCTACTCCTGGCTTTGATTTCAACATCAGAAAAATGCAAGTAATTATGAAAACGTTGCTCCTAGGATAAAAATGGGGACAAAATGAGCACAGCCCGGCTGTTCAACTGTCAGCTCTGCCCCTCTCCTCCTGCTCTCTTGGTGCTCTTTGTGGGGAGGCTGGTCCAGAATTCCTGATCTGAAATGGGAAGACATTACCCTCGAAGGTCGAGTGGTGTGGCAGTTAAAGGACCCCACTGCCAACCTAATGGTCAGCAGTTTGAATACACCAGCTGATGTGGTAGTCAACTTCTGTAAAGATTGACAGCTTGGCATTTGGACAAGAACAAACTGGGAGGAGGGTAGAGAGAATAGTGCAACAATGAATGAATGGAAACCCAAAATCTCTGTAAATGTTTATGAAAATTAATAAAATATAGAAAAAAAATAAAGATTGACAGCTGTTCCACTGCTAGGAATATACCTCAAGGAAATTAGAACTAAGGCACAAATGGAGATTGATAACCAATGTTCATAGCAACATTATTCACAAGAACATGAAAATAATCCAATTGTCCAGCTACAATTGAATGGATTCAGAAATGGTGGTACATTCACACAACGGAATACTATGCAACACTCAGGAGCAATGATTTAGAAAATTACTACATAAATTGGGAAAGACTGGAAAGCCTTATGCTGAGTGAACTAGTTCAGTCTCATGAGGACAAATACTGCATTATTGTAAATACCATTATTGTAAAAATAGAAGGATAACCAGTAAAACATCTATGGGAACTCAAGGGTGGAAGGCGTTGGAGGGGGGAATCACAGGATCACACAATTTGATGGGTGGAGGTAGGGGGTAAAGGAAATTGGAAAATCCAGCAGGAACCTGAAATGATAGGGTAATAGTGGGCATAGTCCAATGGTGACTAATTTTCTAAAACACAGTATATGGGGATG